AATAGGATCGCGTACATGAGCAGCGTACCAGAGACCAAGCACGTAATGTGGATGACGCGTTGCTTGCGGAGGACATCCGAGATGGCGCCCCAGAGCGGCGGCGCGAGGATCGAGCAGACGGCCGGGATCGTCTGGAGCATGCCGATCTGGAACTTGTCAAAGGACGCCGCGAAGAAGACCGTGAGGAAGTTGATGAGCGCGCTGCCGCCAATGTTGCTCACCGTGTAGACGGCCTTGGCCGGCAGCAGCTCGGCCCAGTGCTCGGTCTCGGCGCCCATAATGCAATTGCGCAACTGCCCGTTTCCGTGTCAGAAAGACCATTTTGCGCGTTTTGATTGGCTAAAATATGCTGTTCAAGTTGGTCACTGCTCGAAGAACGGCCGTGGCTCGATCGCCGCAATCGACTGCAGCCACAGGATTGGGACCATGGAACGTGGGATCGATGTGGCAGACAAAAATCGAAGGCTACGTACTAGTACGCGTATCTGGACCTTCGAATCGAAGTGGCGAGACGCAAACGCGGAGCGTCCTCCACACGTCGTCAACAGAGACGAACTGGAAGGTACGACACCCAATGCCAATCAGAGGTGGACATTGATAGCACGTCCCCTTCGTCACACTACTTCAATGTCTTCATTTGTCGTGTTTTGTAGTAGGATTCACTAGCCTCTATTGGATGGCGACAGGGTCGTGTGCTCGATTGGAAAATGCATGATAGGCGATAGACATTATTGCTGAACGGAGCCAGCCACAAAACAATCATTTTTCTTTCTCGTGCAGATACGAAGGCGCGAGATTCTAAACGTATCGTTCCAGCACTAGGCACTGCGCTCCATGAGCGGGCTCGTTTCGCGGGTCCTTCCCCTCGTGGTGGTTGCTTTGGAAAAGAACCACAGCGCAAGAAAGGCCACGGGAACGCCGGCGCTCGTGATGCCCCACAAGTAGCGCGCACCGTTCGCGTTGTAGACGTGACCGCCCACTAAGGTCGCGAGGCCGCGGCCGACACCGCCTTGAACAGCGCTAAGAAGCCCCAGTACAAAACCTTCCGCGCCGGCTGGCGCCTCTGCATATACGTATTTCGTGCTTGCAGCCCACGCGAGGCCATACGTGCAGCCGTGTAGAAGCTCGAACGGCAGCGCATACCACGCGTTCGTCATCAGCGCATAGTATGCTAGCCGTGCACCGTACGCAAGGAGTGCCATCGCCAGCACGTTGACGGTTCCGAGCCGATAGATGAGCTTGTCGGCGTAGTAAAAAGCTGGAAGCTCCGATAGGGTTTCACAGACGGTTGCGAGACCGACGATGTGCGCCGACCCACCGCTAAGTTCATAGAGGTCGAGCGCAAGGAACGCTGATATGATCCCACCCATGGCGCCGGTGACAACGACGAAGCTCAGAAGCGCCATAAGATCGTTGCGGCGCCGGAGCGCGCGCACACCCACGGCGAACGAAGTCGCCGACGACACCCGCGGTGGTGGGACGGCAGCATGTACAACAACGCAAGCCCAGGAACACAGCATCCAAGACTTATGGTGAAGGCCCAGCCAATACCATAGTTGGTGACAACGAGACCCGTGGCGTACGCGCCGAGGCCGTACCCGATGGAGCCATACAGGCGTTGCTTGCCGTACTCGGCCCCAAGCTGCGTCACAAGTGCCAGCACCGCTTGGTCCAAGAGCGTCCACGCGGGCTTGGACTGAAATTGAGCCAAAAAGAAGAGTACGCATGTCCAAGCAAAGCTGTCCGAAACATATTGGACGCCAAACATGAGGAGGGAGCCGGAGACGTAGCAGACAACGTGGACGATCCTGGGGTGCTCAAGCGCGTCCGAAATGGCACCCCACAGTGGCGGAGCGAGCATCAAGCAAATGCAAGGTAGTGTCTGGAGAACACCGATTTGGAATTTGTCAAAGTAGGCGTTGAAGTAGACGGGCAGGAAGATGAGGATCGCACCAAAACCAAAATTGAAGGTCGCGTACGCGGCCTTGGCGAGCCACAGTGCGTCGAGGTGCATCGCTGTGTACCCAATCGAGGTCGTTGCTCGATTTGCTTGTGGAAGGGGACGGTTGAAGTACGTTGATTGCGTGAGCCCATCGCTTTCGAAGATCTATGCCCACAGGAGGTCACACGACAAATCCACAGAATTTGCCCAACAGCTTTCGTCGGAAGGCAATTCCATTGGCTGAAAAGAGACCTCAGCGGCGTTGATTCGCTGCATTTCGGCCAATCCGAGAAACTAGACGTTGGCGCCAATTTATCGATACAACTGTACTGGTATCTTGCCTCGCACCCTGACAGATCAAGCGAGATACTTGTAGTGGTGTGGGGAGATTGGACGCACACGAGCAGCGAGGGCGCTGGCAAAAGGGCTGCTTTGCTTTGCTGCAACAACGGGAC